ACTTTGATCCCGGCTGAAGTTGGTCGAAATCGCTAGTCTTCTGCGCAAATCCGCGTTCTCTTTGAGCAAATTTGCATTGGCACTTTGCAAGTCTGTATTCACTCTCTCTAAGCTAGAGAAGCTGGCGATTTGAGGCGACCAGTGGGTAGTCTCCCGGCCTGGAAGGGACTCATATACAGGGTGACCCTGCTTCTATTAGTGTGATCTTATACAGAGCACAGATGCAACACTATCTGATTTAAAGGTTTGCTGTTGGGACGACCACAAAGAGGGAATGTCGATAAGGTGAGGGGGGTGTAAAGGTGGGGGGAAGCATGCGGGGGCCTCGGGGAAGAAATGATATCAAATCAAAAGAGTCAAGGGCACAGCAAATACCTGGGCTGTGCTTTCGTGGAGGGCAGACATCACCACTTGGTGCAGCTTCTTTGTATCTTTACGTGCTCAAATGATCAAGAATCAATGTCACGCGGCCAATGAATTATGTCGGCCCAATCTGCTTCTAAAAGCTTTGCAGAATGGAACAGAATTTTGCTGGACACGAAGCCTGTTATATATATGCTAATGGCTCCCTGGATTATGGCAGATCTGCTGAACCGGGCTTCGATGCGTATAAAACTATAGGGACGATTTTGAGGTTCTGGATAGCCGTTGACAAAGAAATCAAAGTGTATCTAAGGAATATACCCTTCAGGACAGCACTTTCTCTATATAAAAATATAGAGTCAACAAGCAACAGAACTCTTGCTCATAAATTAACCTGTACTGTACAGCTAAATATTGTACATACGGAAGGATAAATCAGTTATCTGAGAGCCATCAGCTACGATGAATGAACATCCTTTCAATTGCTCAACACATTCAGCCTTGGGAACTGTATCAAGCATATACAGCCGAACAACAGACTTGGAGACTCTAGTCGAAAGTGAACGACAACAGAACAATTTGAATCACAACCAAACTACCAATAACAATACGTCTTGGGAATCTCCGGAAATTAATCGCGTAGATCACGCGATTCAAATGGCTCAAGGAGCCACGATAGCATTGGAAACTATGCCATCATGGCTTAAGGCAGCTAAGTTACACAAGGTGCAGTCACAAAACGAGCGAAAGGTAGAATTGGAGCAAGAGCTTCAGAGGCACCAAGAAGAAAATAATTTTTACGGCATATGCTATGATATCTACCGTGCGTTGCACGGGGAAGTAACAGCTATATCGAGAGAGCTCCTACAGTATAACATAGTACCCGAATATCTCTTACTTGATTCAATTTGGATGTTGAACCGGGCCCTCAGAAAGTCACAGGAGAGCGAGTCAAGGGCTGAGGCAGAGTGGATGAGGTATTGGAATATTCATGATAGCCCTGAGGCGCGCACGACGTGGATCTGATGTTGTTTACTGCTCCAGAGATACTTAATTGACAGCTGCTGTGTGGTGATCCATTTCTCGCAGTTGAACAGTTGTTGGTCAAACAGTGTGTTAGCATCAAGGGCCCGTCGTTTATGGAAGCGATTGTTGCACTTTCTATAGCTGTTCACTAGAATGATGACACTGATGTATGGAGATGAGGGCGTATCTGAGTGCAAATTGTACCCTGTAGAACTCAATGAGATAGTCCTCATGCAGAACAAATACTATATATGTACCTAGTGCGCTAACTTCTTAGAGTCAAGTGAATCATCAATCCCTCAAGAGAAGTGGGGACAGAGAATGGACGTATCTTCGAAAGTTCGGAAGAGTTATCCTGCTAAGGGAGACCGTACCCAACAAGAACAGATACGCAAGCGTCGACATAATCTATTCAGACGACTAAAAGAATTTAACGACAGATATGAGATAGAAATATGGCTTACAATGCGTATGCCAAGTGGTAGAATATATATATTTGCGACGGACCCTGATGTACCTATTCCAAGCGAGGATGAAGTTGTGAGTTTCACATGTAGGTAAACTCTTATGAAGCCACTGATCTTGGCATAGCGAGCACAGAAAGTCCCAGTTGTCCACAAGACGTCAGCGGACTATGACTCAAAAAATGAACTTTCGCTAGGCCTTCAAAGCCCTCCGGATCTTCCTTTTACGAATACCCCAGCTTGTTTGGCGCACGACGATAGTACGAAATGACGAGAAAACCGTCAATCATTTTGTGTCAGTGATAAAGATAAGAGAGGAGAACCAGCCAATAGTGTTCATCTTGAAAAAGCTGATGTGGTGGATACACAACAATAAGCAACTTGGAAGGCTTAGATAGAAGACCAATTCATGATATGTGCGTTTAGTCTCCTGAGTGCGACTTGACTTAAATTTACTGTATTGTCGTTAAATGGACACCTAAATATTTGTCAGTGCTGTCGCGAAGAAGGTAGTGTACATAGTAGAGAAGCATAGACATATCCCAGCATACGCCATCAATCATTCAAAATGAGTAGTAACCAACTAGAGATTGTAGTCCTAGAACTACAGTGGAAAGAAGAAAGACATCTGTATGCCATCCATAGGCTAGTCGGTGTTTGGCAGCAAGAGTTGCAAACTGTAGACCGCCAGCTGCATAACGAGATTTTGATTTTTGAGCACGATTTTTGCGACTTTAATGGTATAAGAAATAATCGACAAGTGCTTCGGCTTCTATGGTGGAATTATGAGGACTATAAAATCAACGCCTTCGCAGCCGCGGACCCAGTAGGGCCACCAGAACGGGAAACCAGGGCAAATAGGCCACCACTGGCCGTGACAAGGTTTTAAGATCGTTCGCACGAGGTGGTACAGTGTCAATTGACCTAGAAGGATGGTTACAGTTGCGGTAGCCTGCATATCAGTTGTCTAACTGAATGAAACAAACAAGCAAACAACAATAGTGTATAACAACTTACGATCGTTTAGCTCCAGGGAGACATTGACCCCATAAAGGTCCACACTTGTCATAGACTCCAAGGTATCCTATAGACCCTACAGAAGGTTTAATACCATGCGGGTTTTCTTGGCATATGAGAGCGTCGATCATACGGTACGCCATAGTTCATAGAGGTTGCAAACTTTATCCGCAGCCCTGAGAGTCTCTCATCCTCACGGACGGCCACAGTTGGTTATCCATAGCGAAATCGCCTGGTGATTGTCTCATAATATCGAATTTTGTGATATTGAATAGAGAGTCTTTCTCCGTAGTGTGCTGAAATCCCCGCGACGCGCCATATAAGGGAGTTTGATCAGCATTGGGTGTGGTCAGAGGGCCGACGTCGGCGTTAAAACGGCTCAGGCTAGCCGTTCGCCTTCGCTGCATCTTCCAGATACTTAAAAGTCACCCATGATTTATCAACCGCCGATATGGCTCGGGTAATAAAAATATGTAGCTGAGCCATGAGGGCCTAATGAGATAAGGGAATTACACCCTACACCGATTCATGCTCAACAGCAGGAACAACCTCATCTTCACATCGTGCGCCCTGCTACAGTACACTCATTCAAAGGCATGCATTTCTCATTGCATCTTATTTATAGCCCAGATGAGGTCGTTTTCGCCTGCGTTCCTCTGCCCCGCAGGAGAGCTGTTCGTGTGATTTCATTCGCTTTTTCGTCGGTCGGGCATCTAATTCCGAACGATGAAAGTCAACGATCAAAACACGACCTTGCTCGGCGTTCCACAACATATTATCCGGCCGAAGGTCCTAGTGTAATATCCCGAGTGAGCGAATCTCTTTCTGCGACCGCGAAATTTCATGTCTGATCGACTCAACATCCTCCTACTTGTTGATGGGTTCACCTCCCCAAGCCATAAGTAGCATATGGCGGATCCGGCCAGCCCCTTCGAGGAAGTAGATCACGGCCAGGTCGATTGCGCCGAGAAAGACTGGGACTGCTCAGCCTTGGACTCGCTGAAGTATACGATAAATATCCGCCTCTCGCTTGACCTCGTTCCACCGGTAAGACGTAGTTCCTTTACCGACGACCGTATACCCATACGCGGTGCATGTAATTTTGAAAGGCGCTCCCGATGCCCCACAGCCTCCCATCGGGGTGCAATCGCGGTCGAGGTTTTCATCCAGTTGCTGCTTAAGCTGCCGAACCAGACCCTTGGCGTCGATCAGGTGTTGGATGCTGGTCCCACCCTGTCGATGGAGCTCGGCATTCGGGCAGTGGTCATCCAGCTTGCCTCCTCGCTGTAAGCCAAGCAGGCATTGCTGGGTACAGAATTGAGCGTTGTGTTGGTATCGGCCGCGTTCATTCTGCTGGCCCCCGGTCTGACGGGCCGAGCGCTGCACCGATGGAGACGATGGAGATGATGTAACCTGGTTGAAGCCACGCTTCCGCCCGCCAGGGGCGGGGTCCATATCAGGTTCGGGAGACTCATCACGCTCCATGGTATTCGGCGCGCACTGGGCTCGAGATCGGGTTGGTATTCGACGTTGCGTAGGGGATTCAATCGGAGAGGATGATGGGAGGTACTCTGACGCTGTCCATCCAGAACTCTCCGAGGGACTATATTCTGGGCTTGGTGAGTGTTGCCGTAATTCTCTTTCCGGGATTTGGGAACGGGTATGATCGAAACTCGTCTTCCAGACCGGCAGCTTCTTCGATGCCTGATTTCGCCACGCCTGGTTGCGGACCGGCGGGCCAAAACTCATCAAGCAGAGACACAATACCCGTGCAATGGCGGTTAATGGCTGCTCAAAGCTCCAGTCGTCATTTAGATCGATCTCCACGTTTGGCTCGCAGAGGTGGTAGTATAACGTGCCCGGTTCATCGTAGGGGACCCGTAACAGAACCAAGGCCAACCCGTTCAAATATGAGTACTCGAGTCCTTCCTGAATCATCACATAATACTCTTGAGTCACAGCGGATGCAGTCAGACAGGCTGCATTATACGTCAGTTTCGCCGACTCCTCCGTGGGGATAGAATTCGGTCGGACCACGTCTTCCCAGAAGTTCATGTCTCGCAATCCTGCGCGAAGGTTCTCGACGGACAGCTTATGGGGCGGCTTATACTCGACTGTGGTAAGAAGGGTATTTCTCTCACAGTCAATCCGGCATATACAAAATTGATCTGGTCTAGAACGCCGGTACGTAGTCGGTAGGGATGGGTCAGTCTCGGGTGGCTTGAGGGCATTTGCATGATTGTCAAACTTGACTCCATCGCTCAGGCCAAATTCCTCTCGAGCGGCCGGTATCTTGCAGAGCTGTGCGATAATATCACGAACATGATTTTCCACCCCAAATCGTTCATAGCTTTCCAGGTCTTGTTCACTACTTATTGCCCTTTTATTAAATTCTTCCCCAAAGCCTTCTAGCACTATGCGCGACAGGAACAGCTGTGTTGCAGCCTCTCCTGGAGGTGCCAGATAGGCGCAAACAGAGCGGTAAATCTCCTGTTGTCTGGAAGCACAATCTTCCCAATGCTGAAGTCGCAACGGACAATATTTCCCGGTTGGAGCTGGCATTTTCCCAGTCGTGGAGCGAGACGGGGCTTCGGCTCGTAACAACGAGACAAGGGTGTGGCACAGGCGAAGGAGCTCTAGAAAGGTCGTTGGCCGTGTTCGTTCTCGTCCTTGGTCTCGTTCTTCCTCGGCCTCTCTTTTGTCTTCCCCAGCTGATGATCAGAAGACTCTCGTATGAGAAGGAAAGGGCGGGACGGGATGGAACGGAAAAAGGTATCGTGTGGGTAGATGGTCAGGGCTGAAAGATCTACATGCACGAACTTTTGGGCTACCATTGGACGAATATGTAATTATTACGGTTCTTTTAAGAGCCACAGGCTTGTATCCCCATTAAAGATGCATACCATTAGGGTACGTACTTGTACTCTTGTACATTATGTTGCTGGTCTTGCTACAGTCGTCAAATCACGTGATAACCACTCTCAGGTACTCACGAACCCACCAAGAACCCATGAGGCTGTATATTACGGAAATAACAATTTAATACAAACCATATCACATGAAAACATATAATTTTGTATATAATACCCGTATTCAAATATCATCGCGGGTTTTGCGATGATTTGGCCCATCAGAAATCACTTGCTACTAGTGGCCCTCGAGCGAACCATCTTTCTTCCTTGCTTCAATGCGGAAAGATACTATTCAATCTCGCTTACCTTGTCTCAAGTCCCTTGACTCTACTCAACGTGCTGCGGCGTTAGAACCCGTTTCGATTTACCCTACCATGCATTTGGAACAGCTACCTCTCAAACTTTTGCTTCTTATTATCGAATACTTGGGCTCCAAAGAAGACCTGGACTCCTTTACGAGAGTATCGAAATACATTCGCAACAACACCAACAATATCTTGTACAAGAAAAGCGGTGAATTGGCACTTCTGTGGCCCGGTGAGAAGGGAATAATGGAGACCGCCCAGTTTGCGTTAAGATATTACAATTTCGAAGAGGCAGATGCCAACCGGAAGAGTGAACTGCGCGAAAGAGCTTTTCTATTGGCTTGTGACGGGGGTCATATTGACCTGGTCAAGATGCTGCTCGAGGAAGGGGTTCTCGCCACGTATAAAAATTACGAGGATATGAGTGGGCTGTCACTAGCTGCTGGGAAAGGACATAACGATATTGTGGAGATGTTGGTCGAGGCAGGAGCGGATCCAAGTTGTGAGGATAGACAAGACAAATCGCCTCTAATGTTGGCTGCCATTGGGGGTCATCAGCATACAGTTAACATATTGCTGGACAGTGGAGCAGCTATTGATAGCCTTTGC